CCCCCCCCTTACCACCCTGGTACCCAACATTTTGCAAGCCACCCGTGTTTGCTCTCAGATCCTTGAAATACGGATCCCATCTCCTTGACGATTAAAGCGATGTGGGAAGTTTAAAAGCGAAGAGTATGCATGTTATTTTGCCCTCTGCATTTATTATTACCCGACTTGGCCCTACACGCCCCCCATAGCTTCCCCTCTGTCTCACCTGTTGTTCGCGGTGCTCACGGTCGCACCCGGCGCGGCACGTCGCGTCGTCGTGTTGGTCAAACAGCGCCCCGCCGACAACTCCGCGTCCGCGGCAGACCGCGGGGCCCGCGGCCCGCGCCGCCGGCACGCGAGCGTTGTAGCGCGGCATGGACCCGGCGCGTCAGAGCCGCTCATGGATGCGATGGAGCCGGCCCAACTGCCGCCGTTGGTGCGAGAGAGACCGCACGCGTGACGGCGGAGTTTGGTGTGTCGCGCATCTCACTTGCTCCGCTTCTCCAGGCGGCCACCATACCCGCCGTGGGGCGCGGGCGGGGTGGTCGGCGTCGCCACCGCCCGCCGCCCCCATAGTGAGAAGTGATGGTCGGATCACAATCTAAACGGCATCATTGACGGTAATCACGTACTCGGCGTGTGCTGCGTACGAGAGAGGGAGATGACTCACGCCGCTTCTGCGTGTCCTTTTTCTTTACAGAGTGATGCCATCGGACACACCGCCACTTAGAGCGTTACGTATGCGCAGCGGCGGCGGCGGAGGGCCCGGCCCGGCCCGCGGGCCCGCGCTGCGCCAGGGCATCAAACTCGGCCGCGTCCGGATACAGGAGCAGGAGCGCGACGGTGCGCTTGCCGCCAGAGAGATAGCGAGGGCGCCACCCACTCGAGGTGAAGGGCCACCCGCCGCGAACGCAGCCCGGCCCGCTGCAAGTACGGAATGCTTCGGGAGAGTAAACAGCGAGCCTTTGTGGGCGGCCCGCGCCGGCGGGGAAGGACCACTCGGCGCGAGCGTCTCCTTTGTCGACCCCAGCATGGCAGGGTATCGGGTCGATTTGCCTCTGGTGTGCGTTTAGGATTGGATTGTGCCATTTATGCAACTTTGCCAAAAAAAAATTGTTCATTGAAAACGACGAGGAACTGGAGACAGGGAATGAAAACGAGGGCTTCATACAGGCAATCAGTGTTTTAATTCAAAGTATGAAAGGGAGAAATTAATCAAAGCAAAACAAATTCACTGTGACTGATAAGAAAGGGTGACCATTGACAAAGGACAAAGACTGAATGGCAGGAGCTGACAATACAACCTAGCTAAGACCAATGAACAAATCAAATTACAATCGTAGTTCACAATAAGGAGACTGTATAATAAAAGATGAAATACAATCAGAGGGAATGATACTGGACAAATGGAGTAGAAAATGGATTTTTAAAAAAGGACTTTAGGAATTCAAAATTAAGTAGTAGCACTGTAAAAATTGATCAATGTGTCAAAATTTAAAACTTTGTTGAGGAAAATAAAAATGTGAACAGACTTAAAATACCCTTAAGAGTTAGAAATGCAATTGGTCATAAAATGTTACAATTAAGTGAAAAGAGGCATACATACACAAACTAATGCCAGGTAAATAGAGTTAATGGCAGTCACATTACTTAGAAGAGAGCACAAATATAAATTAATTTCATTCAATTACAGGCCTGTTTAGAGTAAACAAAGTATAAATAGACTATTAAGATACAACAAATTACTGAAAACAAGGTATTTCAATCAACAAATACTTCAACAATTGTTATAAATTCATCAATGCATAGTCAACAGAAATGACATATAGTTCAGCATATTTCAGCAAGTCTTTAAATGACTAAAATTTGTTAATACATCTGTAATGCCTAATGCAGGACTTACAAAAGAATTCTTGAAAGGACACAGCCTAACACATATGCAGCTCAAGTCTGCACAAGACAAATTAATTGTATGTCTGACAAGCTTAAAAGCTTGCAATAGGAAATTCATTATCACTTTGCAATTATGGACTAAACTCAGTAGGCCCACATTGAAAAATTAATTAGTTACCCTGGGAATAAAATTCATTAAGTCATAATCACCAGGTAACAGGACAAAGTTACATTTAATAGATACAAACTTTGAAACTAAATAAAAAAAAAAAGAAACAACAACAAATTGACACTTAACTTATTAAATATGGAAAAAAGAAAACATATATATGGTTGGATTCAACAAACAAAATCCAGACAAAAAGAGAGCTATTTATATTAAAAACAAAAACAACAGAACTACACTACTCAATTAAAATTTTTGTTCAATAATGACATGAGCTGGCAAAGCTCACAACTCTAAAAAGATTATTTCACTCTTTAAAAGCATATGACTTCTTTTGAGAAGTTAAAATATTTAAATATATAGCCAGATAATATGAATACCTTTGAGGAGAACAATCAAGAAGGTAACATTGAGCAAACTTACATAACTATTGTTTCTAAGAAATACCTACATATTGTGCCTCCACGACTAACAGAGGCAAGGTACATACAGATTTGACTTGCAGACTAATGACAGAAATTCAACAACGACGGTAAGCTAAAGTTCGTGGTCTATCTGCCCACTCTTTGACAATAGGTTTGTGGAATTGTTTTTCATCATCGGAATGAATTTGAGACCAGCACATCTCACAGTAGTACTGTAAAAAATAATTTTGAAATTTATAATAAAGCACTAATACACTTAACTAATTGCATGTAGTGTGAAACACTGAGCTTACCTGAAGGCAAATGAGGTTCCCACAAAAGTATGGTCCACTTCTTCGGCTGTCTATACATTGATCACATAGTTGGTCATCAAGAACAAATGGTTTCACTTCCATCTGTAAACAATATATCAATATATTAACAAAAATTCCATTTTAAAGATATTTAAGATACTCTTTGCACAGTATATGAAATTGGTTACTTACTCGTTTCCTCTGATCAGGCATCTGAACTTCTACAAATCGTACTTCAATAGCTCTGAGATAGCTTTCACGGGTTGTGAAAGTAACACGGGCTGCCCCCTTGGGATACTTGAGATCTGGGTCTGTGTCAATGCCAGCACAGCATACATTGCCAAAAAGTTCATTCATCAAGCAGGCTAGCTCAACTGAAAAGAGGAAAACAAAGATCATTCAGGTAAAATAAAATAAAGTAAAATAAAGTTTGCTATATAGAATATAGTTTAATTGAATGCACTGTACCTGCTTTGAATGGTCTAGGGACACCACCAACAAACACAGTTTTCCGCGGGTCAAGGGGAACCGAGTCATCAAGTGTGTACTCAGCATCAGCAAGACTCCATGGGCGTATCTGCACAAGCTTGTTTGGTTGGAGATGTGATGACACACTGATGTACAGCTGAGGCTGTAGAGTTAAAACTGGGAGTTGAACAACAACAGGGGGCTGTGTTGATAAAAGCCTCTGAGGAATGCCATCGACCTGCGCAACCAGTGAATGTCGACTCCTTTCTGACATACGAGGCATGTCCGCTGGTTTTTGGATGCAGGAATCAATGAGCAATTGAACTGACTCTTCCTCCTGTGAACCAAAGTTACATTTGAATTCATCAGCACCACTGACATACACTGAAAGCCAAACCGATTGAGACAGGTGTAGCAGGCGAAACTCACTTGAAAGATGAGGAAGGCATAGCCCCTTGGAGGGAAATGTGGCCTGGTCTCTCCTTTCTGAGGCCAATTCACTGTCAAATGGCCAAAGCGTCTGAATGCTGCATAGATCTCCTCTGCAAACGCAAGTCAAAGATAACATTGGAGATCACAAGCTTCAGCAGTTCTCAAACATGGCAGAGGGGGGTGGAACAGCAATTAACACTTAACACTCACTTTCATTAATGTCCGGTGGTAGCCCGCCGATGAATACTTTGCGAGAATACTTTTCCAGGCGCTCCAAGCGGCCAAGGCTGTCTTGAAATCCAAGCCCCATCATCATGTTGCTGAGGGAGGGTACGGTGGGTCCAGACAGAGGGCAGGGACCCTTACTGTAGACCACCCTTGGCCTCAGGTAGCTGCCGTTGGCCGAGAAATTGTTGTTCAGATTCATGTTACCTGAACGGGGGGCAAAACGAAACGTAAGATAACGTGAGATGGGATGAGCCAACGATGGCAAAGCCAACTGTTCCAAAGGCTGAGTCCGGCGGGACGGTGGACGGCGCAACAATGGGGATGCAAGGGAGGGAGCTGGAGGGAGCGCGCGGGACGTCTTGGGACGCACTTACTTCTGTTCTGGTCGGTTTCCACCGGGTATCGCCAATGCGGAGATGGTGGCATGACGTAGGAGGCCATCTTCAATAAAATTCACAATTTGAGATTGTTCGGATTGCGCCAAACTCGATCAGACTTGCAACGGTCGTAAGCTTCGGCCCAAATAATCCGCCCGTTGTGCGTTTGTTTATTGGTGCTCAGACCCGGCTACGCGCGGGAAACAATATCCGTTTCCGGCCGCACAACTATCACTAGATCACAGAATTACGGGAAAATGGTTGATTCACAGACGGATGGCTCTAATTGGGCCAGAAAATGTATCAAAACGCCTGCAAACCGAGTTTATCCCGTGAAAAGTTACTGGAAAACTTTTAAACTGATACTTCGGACTGACCGTTGGAGCTTGTTGTGGTATGCAGTCTGACCACATTCACAACTTGGAACCACAGGATATTTACCCTCCGTCTTTTAAAAATTTGCCATTTGAAACACTTTTAAAATAATAGAAACCGTTTTTGAAACAACAAAGTTTTACTAGTTCAAAATTGGAAAGGAAAAATGGCAAAAACTATTTTTATTTCCCATAGGTTCAGTTGGCAATGAAAATTTTGACATTTCCCGCGTCTCGCCGTGCAGTGCAATCGGCAATTTTCAAAACAACAATAACGTTTTTGATTTACTTTTACCTACAAAACTGACTTAAATTCGTCTTGAAACTTTAGCTATCATAATTTTCCTGCGTCGCAACCCAACTTGTCCAGTGACATCAGAAGCGTCGTTTACCAAATCGAAATTTCAAGGTTCACCCTGCCTGCGGTGGAGAAGTTTTCTGCATGGTTATGGGTAAATACATGAATATTTTCTCCGTTTTAACGACACATTTTTTGTGAGACAAGAATTTATTTATTAATATAATGTATTTCTTCTGTTTATTATAATATTCTAGTTCTAGTGACGAATTTGAAATGCGTTTAACTTGCATTGTTTGTCGAGAGCTCCTTTTACCATGCGAAGATGTCAATGTTGCTCCTTGTGGACACTTCTTCCACTATACTTGTTGGATTGGCTGGCTTGAAAGGTAATGTAAATGTGTACCAATCCATGTTTTTCCTAAAAGATTTGTGTTACAGTATAAGTTCTAAATTCTGTTAACAGATCTAAAACATGTCCACAATGTCGGAAAAAAACCACAGAAAAACAAATCTTTCGACTGTATTTCAACTTGGCAGAAGGAGAAGGAGAGGAAGTTGAAGATGCAGCTGCAATGAACAACAAATTAGATTCACTTTCTTTCAACCTTCGCCTGAAAGAGAAAGACCTATCCAATGCTAAAGAATTGTTGGAGAAAGAGACCAGTGTAAATGAAGGATTAAGGTAGAAAAAAATAAAAACTTACTTTATGTTATAATTGGACACTTAATTAATCAAATTTTTCTTTAATCTTTTTCCTTAGAACTGAAATTAAGAACTATAAGAAAAAGATGGATGATGCTGTGACTCAACGGCAGTGCTTAGAGTCAAAGATATCGTACCTTCGCATGCAAGCTAAGGAGACAGAGCAGGCTAAAGCACAGGTGGCATCACTTAAAACTAAGCTCGATAGACTTGAAAGGTTATTGTTTGTTTTCATTTAAGTACTAACTTTGTTTACTCTTATTGGTTCTCCTGGAGTTATATCTTTTATCATTTTTATCTCCTGTAGAATGGACACTATAATCCATGGCAATATAAGTGACGTTGAACAAGTTCTCGAATCCACCACATTTACACAGGAAGGAATGCGTAGCCTTGCGTTGTTTACTTCAAGCCTCAAAAAGTAAGTCGAACCGAAATGTTTATCTATTTGTCTTGTTTTCTGGCATTACCACAATTTCTCACATCAACTTTTTTCTACAGAGCTCTTGAAGAAACCAAAGAGCGAAGAGAACAGTTGAAAGAACTTCATAATGCAGATAAGTGCACTATGCGTAAACTGAATCAAGAAGTCAAAGAACTAAGAATTAAACTTGAAATGGCCACTTCAACCATAGAGTAAGGAAGAGTTTATTTAACTTACAATGACAAAACAACTCCTCTTACTGTATGTGTGTATCTATATGTAACGTTTCCTCATCCAGGCATCTGGAAAGTGATGTTCGTCATCTTGAGCAAGAGAAGAAAAGTATAACAGGAAAACTTCAAGCTCTTGAGCGGGCTGTTCTCTCCCCTAGTGCAGATAATATTCGTGACAACGCCCTTCGGAGAATTATTGCTGAAAGTCCTGCCCCAGAGTACTTAAAAAGATTGCGAGAAGAAGATGAAAATACAGAGGAAGACAGCAATCTTACTCCTGTTCAGGTAAAACCTAAAATTAAAAAATACCATATTGTTTTCTTTGTGTTGAGAACTGTTCTCTTTATGTTCTAATGTCTGCACAGGTTGGGCCAGGTAGAAGTTTTTCCTTTTCTCAGCCTGATGCTGAAAATACACAATCACAACAGGCCAAGAGATTGGAGTTGGATGGCTCACCTGCTTTGGGAGTTAGGCCACTTATTGTTAAAGGCTCTGGTGTGCCTCTGAAGAAAACTCAGTCAATGCCAGTGAATGGCCCATACAACAAAATGACAATTTTTAACAAAAGACTGCAACCAGGAAAGCAAAGTGCCCCTCTCCGGCCTACATCTCAGTTTGGTGCAGGCTATGATGGTCTTGGCGGTCATTCCCACCCTGATGATTTTCCCAAACCTAGCCCTAAACCATTCAAAAAAGCTAAACCAGCTCCAACAGCTACTCTGTCAAAAGTTAAGAAACTGGTTGCTCCAGCTGGTGTACCAAAATTAGACCAATTTGCTGGTTTTTTGAACTTTGACTAATAACAGTTCAATTCAGTCAGTGATATGTGATAGCTTTGAAATATTTTGGCAAGTTTTTCAAGAAGTGTATTATTTAATGTCCCTTTATAATTTGAAGCAAATGTGATCCTACTTATTGTTAGAGCCCCGTACCGACATTCCTCTTGGCATGGTGTTATTGGCATGTATGAGGCCAGTTATTTTTTTAACTTAGTCAGTTATTTTTTTAACTTTGGTATCAACTTATACAAGTAGAAAAGTGAATCACTGTGGCCATGGCTGTGTGCCTGTTTTTAATTTTAAGTGTTGCCTGTAATCATATTTTTTAAATAATAG